GTTTGGGGGCTGTAGGCTCCTCCCTGCCTGTTTCTTCAGCCTCATCACACAATCCTCTTTCTATCTCTTACTCTACTGAAGTGTTGGCAGCCTCCAACAACCTCCTCTAGTCCAAGTTCTACCATCATACCATTTCCTTCCTTATCTAATATCCACAGAGCATCGAGTGTCTGTTGCAAACCAGGTATCTAAGATGAAGCAGTACAACCCAAGCTGCCCAGTGATGGCAGACGCTGCAAAAATATGAATTTGCAATCAGTCTCTATTTTGTGTTTCCAGTAGAACTGGAAGAATCTGATTCTTCTATTTTTATTTTTGCTGCTTTTGAATGACTGTAATGTGGCACCATTAATTTTTTTTTTCTCCTCTTCCTTGGCAGCATCTCTTGGGCAGTCAACAGCAGTCTTCTGTCCAGCTCTGGGTCTCCTTTGGCCGGAAGCCCATGCGAGCAGCCCAGTTTGTCACAAGACATCCTATTAATGTGAGTGGGGTCTGCTTGAGGTTGGGGAGAAGTGTCACTGTCTTTACGCAGAGGTCAGAGGAAGGGTGTTGCAGGGATGGCCTGCTGGAGTGGATATTTTATGGAGCCTCCCTGAAGTCACTTTCCAGAGAGGTCTCTAGAGAGAGCAGTTTCACTTTGGCCATCGTGGTCTGTGTTTCCCACTTCACTGAAGCAGAGCTGAAGGAGAGTCTTAGTTTGCTTTAAGTGCAGCAGCACTGGCAGAGAGAGGTTGGAGCCAGAGTCAGTGCCATCTGAGCAGTGTACCAGTACTGAAGCAATGGGAAGTTTGTGCATGATAGGAATTTTTTTTATTGAGTACCTGCTGTATTGCTTGCAAGGGGTGAGTTCCAACAGGGGATAGGATTTGGGTCCCACCTTTTAGAAACAGGTTGGAGAGACTATGAACTGAGCAGCAGAAGAAACCACACATAAGCAAGTGCTTACATGTGCAGCTTTATAACATGAAGATGGATAGGAAAGAGCTGCATGGGATGGGGTCATTAGAGGAGTTGCCACAGAGAGAAGGTCACAGGGAAACGTCTTGACACTGGCAGTTGGCTTGATGAAAGGTAAACAGCTCACTGACTTACCTTCCACCCAACGAATGGGATCATATGGAGAACCGTCTTGCCAGTTCTCTGCTAGTTTCTATGGATTCTGCCTTCCTTTGGTCACCTTAGGGAAAATAAAGCGAAATGCATTAATCCATATTGTACTTTGCACGAATGAAAGGTCTCATGGGAAAATGAGGGAGACATTATTAACAGAAAGAGGTTTGTAGGTCATTTGTGCAGTGCAGTGGCCCGTTATTTTGTGCCCCGTTTGCCAGTAAGGGGCCCGCTAAGCTGCAGATCCGCCTCAGGTTCTCCAAAGGGAAAGTCGCCAAAGCTTCTTTGCCAAGGTTAGGGAGCTTCCTGTGGGCTTTAGGCACACATTCGTCACTAGGACATTTGAAAGTCATTGCTTCCGTGTGTATAGAAAAAGCCCACAGGGCACATTTGTTTTCTGACATATCTTTTTTGACTTCTGATTCCAAAGGAATATTACATCGCAGATGCCTCCGAGGACCAGGTGTTTGTGTGTGTCAGCCACAGTAACAACCGTACCAATTTATACATCTCAGAGGCAGAGGGGCTGAAGTTCTCCCTGTCCTTGGAGAATGTGCTCTATTACAGCCCAGGAGGGGCCGGCAGTGACACCTTGGTGAGGTAAGGAGACCGTGAGTCCTTCTGCCTTCTTAGGCCAACACAACCATTAGCTTCTCTCTGGTTCAGTGGTTTGCAGCATTAGCTGCACACGTGGATTCACCCGGGAAGTTTTGGAAATCCAATGTCTGGCTCACGTGCCCGGGGATCACCGTGGGATGGGTTTGGGGTGTGGCCAGGTTATGAGGATTTTAAGAAGCACCCTAGGTGATTCTTATGTGCAGCCAAGTCTGGAAACTACAGCTCTAGGTAACATTTAGGGTCAGAGCTACTGTGTTAATCAATTCCTTGAGCTCCTTTTGTTCAGTGTTCTGGTTTTGTGGTTTCTGAGCATTGAAAAACAGCACTTGGAAAATATCAAGTCAGTGAGAGCTGGCATATGCGGCCAGTGGATCAGGTTAATTGATGTCATTACTCTTTTTTTTTTTTTTTTTTTTTAAGAGATAATTGCAGTGTTTTGTAAGGAAAGGCGCCAACGTCGTTGATCTTTTATCTGTAAATCATGTGTTTAGAGCTGTTTTGCAGTCCAGCAGTGAGCAATATCTGAGCACCACACCCATCAAGGGGTGGTGGAGGACTTGGGGTTTGGGAGGGATGAATTGGTTCTTAAGATCCTTTCAGGACCATTTATTCTGATTTGTCGTTTGACAGCCAGACTTGGGTGACCTGTGTGGCTGTGGTTAGAGTCCCCTCTGCTCTTGGAAAGAGGCTCCTGCGTGAAGCTGACTGGTCTGGGATGGGGTCTGGCTCTCCAGCCATGACAGCCAGGTCTGAGGGCATGCCTTTGTGCCCACTGTTTCTGGGCAATTCATTCCACTGTCAGTTTATTCACAAGTATGCTGCTGCTCTCTGCCAGAGTGTTCTCGGTATAGCCACAAAATAATGTATGAAGCAATAAAATATCAGAACAAAGTCCCTCTTCCATGGAGTTTATATTCTAGTTGGGGAAGATAGAATATAAGCAAGTATGTGATCTGCCTGCTAACATGTTGAAAAGAAAAATAAAGCAAGATCAGGGGACGGGGGGTTGCAAGGGTGTTCTTTTATTCTACTGGCTGCTTCAGGAGGGGGACATTTAAGCAGGTGCCTGGATTACATGAGGGAAGGAACCAGGCAGAAGCCTGGGCGAGTAGCACTGCAAGCAGGGCAGACAGGAAGCACAGTGACTCTGAGGCTGGACTGCACTGGTGTTTTAGGAGCAGGGAGGAGGCCAGAGTGGCTGGAAGGGCTGAAGAGAGGGAGAGAGAAGGAAGAAACAGTACCTAAGAGAGCAGGGCTCAGATCCTATAGGGCCTTCAGGGGCTTGTAAAGAGCTTTGTTTTTTTCTTTTTGGTTGTTGTTTTTTTGTTTGTTTGTTTTTGAGATGTAGTCTCGCTCTGTCGCCCAGGCTGGAATGCAGTGGCGTGATTTTGGGTCACTGCAGCCTCCGCTTCCTGGGTTCAAGTGATTCTCTTGCCTCAGCCTCAAAAGTAGCTGAGATTACAGGCGTGTGTGCCACCAGGCCAGGCTAATTTTTATATTTTTAGTAGAGACAGTACCATGTTGGCCAGGCTGATCTCAAACTCCTAACCTCAAGTGATCTGTCTGCCTTGGACTCCCAAAGTGCTGGGATTACAGGTATGAGCCACCACACTCAATCCTGTTTTTTCCTTCTAAATGAGATGGAAGGTTTAGACCAGGAAATGGACATGATCTGATTTAACCTTTTCTTTTTTTTCCATTAAAAAATTGTGAATCGCATTATGTAATGAAAAGAATGTAAAACATAAATGAATAGTGTTATAAATAATTATAAGTGAGCCCTCATGTGGCTTATCTTTTACAGAAGTTATCCTCAATGCTGTGTGGGAATTTGACTACTGTAGGGGACAAAGGCGGGAACAGGAAGACTAGTTGTGAAAGGATTGCAGAGATACAGGCCAGTAGGGATGGATGTTGGCTGGACCCAGGGTGGTGGCACTAGAGATACTCGAAATGGTCAGACCCTAAATATATTTTTAAAGTAGAGCCAGTGGGATTTGTTGATGGATGGGAACGAGGGGTGTGAAAGAAGGAGGAGCCGGGGACTGCTGCTGCTTCACCTGAGCTGCCTGTAAAGAGACGGCCACACAGGGAGTCAGGGAGATCTGGGGCAGGGTTAGTATTAGGGGGAGACCACGAACTTGGTTTGGGACTTACCTGGTTGGAGAGGCCTACTGGATATCCACGTGCCCAGCTTTCTACCTGATCTCTGATGGTGCTTTTCCACTTCCTGTTTCTTCTCTTTTGGAGGCGCTGTCATCTTTTATTCCTTTCCTCCCCTGACACAGACTCATGGATTAATTATTATTTAATGTGTTATAAACCATTCCTGCCATGATTCGTTTTGATGCTCAGCTTGTCCTGGTTTGGTCAGTGGCAGATCCTACCTCCTTCAGGCTGGTTCTTGTCATTTTTTATTGAAAAAATTATTGACTGGGCGCGGTGGCTCACGCCTGTAATCCCAGCACTCTGGGAGGCCAAGGTGGGTAGATCAGGAGGTCAGGAGATCGAGACCATCTTGGCTAACATGGTGAAATCCCATCTCTACTAAATATGCAAAAATTAGCCGGGTGTGGTGGCACGTGCCTGTAGTCCCAGCTACTCGGGAGGCTGAGGCAGGAGAAACGCTTGAACCTGGGAGGCAGAGGATTCTGTGAACCAAGATTGCGCTACTGCACTCCAGCCTGGGCGACAGAGCGAGACTCCGTCTCCAAAAAATACATATTATTTATTGAGGTGAAATGTATATAACATCAGCTTAGTCATTTTAAAGTAGGCAATTCGGTGGCATTCGATACATTTACAATCTTGCGCCACTGCCACCTCTGTTTAATTTCATGGCCTTCTCATTTCTCCAGAAGAAAACCCCATGCCCATTAAGTCGCTTCTCTCCACTATCCCCTTCTCCCAGCCCCTGGCAGCTGTCAGTCTGATTTCTGTCTCTGTGGATTTTTCCCTATTTTACAGGGTGTTTCATATAAATGGAATCATACAATAATATGTGACCTTCTGTGTCTGGCTTCTTTCACTTAGCATAATGTTTTCAAGGTTCATCCATGGGTACCATAGATCAGTGCCTCATTCATTTTAATGGTGAATAATAGTCTCCTTTTTTAAATAATTAAAATAGTGAATCACTGTCCCTCAGACCTCTCACTGACGCTTTAATCTTTCTTTTTTCACCATTAAAAGCCCCTGGTTATGAAATGGAAAAGTCACAGCTTGCTAAATATTTTCTTGTCTTCCGCATGTGTCAGATATTCAGGGTGAATGTTTCATGCTGGGACAGAGTATGAGCCAGAAGCCAGAGCGATGGCCCTTTGCAGAGTTATGAAGGCCTCCCCTCCTTGCCTGAGTGCACAGTCCAGTGAAGAAACTGGAAATAGATTCACGTCAAGAGTCATAGACCAACGTCCTACTCAGTTTTCTCATTCTTCTCAGATTTTATCTGAGGACTAGAGAGGTTCCGTTGTACTCAGCTGAGTGACATTTTGTCATCTGCATCACGATCTCAGCCGGATGAAATGGGATAAAGGTGAATTAGCACATCACGTGGGCAGGCTGGTTTAGAGTAAACTGGTGTGTGAAATGAGCAAGTCTTTGAACTGAATAGGAAAGGATGGTGTGTGGGAACTGCTTCTGATTTACTTAGGGAAATGGAGAAAGAGCTCTTTCTAGGGAATGACCCTGGCCCTGCTGGGATGTGCCAGGTGGGAGTCTCATGGAAAGCACTAGCTAGATGTTGGATGCTTTGGAGGAACTAATGTGCTGAGGAGATGTCAGGCCCGCGGGTCACCTTAGGGAGGGGCACGGGCCCAGTTGGTGGGGGTGTTGTCAGGGCGTGGATTCTGCACTGAGCGGGGCTGTAGGGGACCTGGTGAGCTTCCTGGTAAGCCTTGGCCCTGGGTACTCTGGGAAGAAGGGGAGAAGTGCCTGGGGGAGGGCCAGTGAGGATAAAATGGGAGAAAGTGGACTCTTAGAGAAAGTGCTTAGGGTGGGGCAAATTGTTGTAGGGCAGGTCAAGTGGGGGAAAGAAAAGGATGGGCTGGGACTCCTGGTGGAGGAGCATGTGAGATGCAGGAAGACAGGCTTCTGCCTAGAAGTAAAAGATAAAACTCCAGGAATCCGACTCGGGAAAGAAACAGAGCTCATCTAATGAGAGAAACTCAGACCTCCCAGATAAGTAGAAGAAGCCCATAACTGGTGGGGTGACAGTTTATGATGATAACCCCCAGAGAGGTAGAGCAGAGGTCAACAGAGAAGGAGGGAGAGAGACCTTCAGCTGGTTCCTAAGAAGCCCCTGAAAAATAACTGAACTAGACCTAAGGAAACCGCATGTCAGAGAATTTGGTCTCAGCTCCAGCATTTCATTCAGCGTTGTGCTCAGTCCCGCAGCCTGAAGCAGCTTTGGTGGGGCTCCTAGTGTTCCTTTTCCTGCCTCAGAGGTTGTCTTTTGGGTCTTTCTGTCTGATGTGGCAGGGCAGTCCTCCAGCTGAAGAGATTGTGTGGAGACGGATGACGGAGGGCAGCGTTTCTCTGCTTTATTGTGTAGCCAGTGGCTCAGAACCCCTGAAATAAAGGGCAAGCTTCCAGTCTTTTTTCTTTTTCTTTTGTTTTGAGATGGAGTCTTGCTCTGTCACCCAGGCTAGAGTGCAGTGGCACGATCTTGGCTCACTGCAACCTGTGCCTCCTGGGTTCAAGCTGTTCTCCTGCCTCAGCCTCCCAAGTAGCTGGGACTACAGGCATGTGCCACCACACCCAGCTAATTTTTGTATTTTCAATAGAGGCAGGGTTTCACTATGTTGGCTGGGATGGTCTCGATCCCTTGACTTTGTGATCCCCCCTTCCTCGGCCTCCCAAAGTGCTGGGATTACAGATGTGAGCCACCTCACTCAGCCAAGCTTCCAGTCTTAACAGCCACGTATGAACCCTGGTTACAATTTCTCAGAAATCCGCTCTATTTGTAATGCTTGTATCATTTTAGCACAAAACCACTTTCCTGTGGCATTAGGGTATCAGCATAGTAGATAAAGCCTGGGAAGGCCGTATTCTCTTCAGAATATAACCCCAAGCTTTCTGGAGCCATCCTTGCTGTATGTACAGTTTCTTCAGGAAGGAGTCGACAGGTTCTGCTGAGCTTCCTGACAGAGGACCCTGTGGGCTTCTATCTGATCAGAGTGTTGGATAATTAGATTGTAAGTACCTGGAGAGGGGCTGTGTAACCCTGAGCTGTGTTCCTACAGATTGGGTTGAATTTTAAGCCTCAGCACTGTTATTAGTGTCTTGTAGGTCTGACTTAATGATATCTGTTTTTGAAGGCTCACTGGAGGATTTGGAGTCAATTTCGATAGTGATGTAATAGATGTGACTCTTATGTCAACTTTTGTATGTTATAGTCATCATTCTAAACCCCCTGTTAGGAATTGTTGATCAGATAAGCCTTTTGGCCCTAAAAGTTGAAAAGAAACAAATTTTTTAAAATAGCAAATTATCGGGCTGGGCATGGTGGCTCACGCCTGTAATCCCAGCACTTTAGGAGGCCGAGGCAGGTGGATCACTTGAGCTAAAGAGTTCGAGACCAGCCTCGGCAACATGGCGAAACCCCATCTCTAGCAAAAAATTAAAAAATTAGCTGGGCGTAGTGGCACACACCTGTAGTCCCAGGTACTTGGGAGGCTAAGGTAGGAGGATCATTGAGGATCATCTGAGTCTGGGAGGTCGAGGCTGCAGTGAACCGTAATCGTACCACTGCACTCCTGCCTGGGCAGCAGTAAGACCCTGTCTCCAAAAAAAAAGGAATGAAGTACTAACAATGTGCTATAACGTGGATGAACCTTGAAAGCATTATGCTAAGTGAAAGTAACCAGATACAAAAGACCGCATATTGTAGATTCCATTTATATAAAATATCCAGATAGGCTAATTCATAAACCCATGGAGCAGATGAGTGGTTTCCAGGGCTTGGGAAGGGAAGAGGAAATGGAGAGTGACTGCCAGTGGGTATGAGGTTTCCTTTTGGAATGATGAAATGTTCTGGAACTAGATAGTAATGATAGTTGCCCAACTTTGTGAATGTGCTTAATGCCACAAAATTGTGTACTTTTAAATGGTCAAAGTTTATGTTATTTATAATAACAAGCAAATACCAATTCAGGTTCATAGCTGTTTATTTTCATATTGTAGGTATTTTGCAAATGAGCCATTTGCTGACTTCCACCGAGTGGAAGGATTGCAAGGAGTCTACATTGCTACTCTGATTAATGGTTCTATGAACGAGGAGAACATGAGATCGGTCATCACCTTTGACAAAGGGGGAACCTGGGAATTTCTTCAGGCTCCAGCCTTCACGGGATATGGAGAGAAAATCAGTTGTGAGGTATTGATGTTTTAATCTTGTTTTGCTTTTTGATATAAGGGAAAGAGCCCTACTCTGTGGTAGTTTCCTATGTCTAGTATTAATCGAAAAAATACAGTATCACATAGGATTCTATTAATATCACATGGAGCAGACTTTTATCTGTGTTGCTACATTTGGAGTTCCCAAACTCTGCTCCAAGGTCTCACTACCACTTCTGGGCAGAAGCAACTCAGGAAAAAAAAAAAAAAGTAGTATTCACTTTTAGTACTACTTGTTTAGTTAGACCATTACTTGGTCTTTTGGATTTTTGAGTTTTGTTTGTCCATGGTGGGCTATGCGGACACTCCCCTGTATGATATATCTGTGGCCCTTGGGAACATTTCTTTGAATTTACTTCTTGGTTTTTCTTCTCTATTTAGCAATGGGTCTTGGCTTACCACATCAAATCTAATTTTGGAAAGAGGCAGCCTATAAATAGATATAGACAAATATCTGGGTGCTTCCTCCTCCCTTAGTAGTGTCTTCTACAGCGTCTTGGTGAGATCCTGTGGTGGTTGGAACTTGGGTGTTTTTGAGTGTGCTATGGGGGTCAGGCTTTAGTTAAATTGAATTAATGGTGTCACTCAAATTCAGCTTTTTGTTTCCCTGACTGAGCAGTTTATTTATGAACTACAGGACAGTTCATCAGCTTTCAGTTTCTTCTTCTGAGTTTAGGTGGTGGAAGGAATGCATAGGAAATGGATAAGTCTGATTACCTGAGGATAACAGGAACTCTTCAATGAATAGACTTCCTTGCAGGCAGAAAAGCATGAGTCACAAAGAGGAGTGAGCAAATAAATATTTCTTTGACACCCAGCCTAATTTGTTCCAGTTTTCATTGGTCAAACTGAGACTCTAGCCAGACAGATACTTGTTAGAGATCCTTTTGTGACAAAAATAAGTAGCAAATAATCCAGCAAACCTTGCTACTATTTTTACCTGACTGTAACCACATAAGCACGTAGTTCTCCTGTGCAGAACCCTGGCCACATCTAAGTAACACTGAACAAGCTCTTCTGACCAGGAGAACTGAGTGTGACCATATGGCAAAAGGCGTTGTCCTGATTGCTTGCAGAGCTACTAAAATCTGGACATGAGTGATGGAAGCCAGATTGAATCACTTGAAGCCTTGCCCTGTATACGTACACCTTTGTGCAAATGTAAAATACATGGCAAAAAATTTAATGCCTGTCCTTTGGTTTTTATATCGCATTGATACTGTACATCAGGGGAGCTTATCCATGAGACTTATGACCTCTGATTCTTGGTCTGTCTTATGACAGAATTGCTGGAATCATATTTGAAATACATCTCTGACTTAGAAAGTGTATATGACAAAATCATTTCATTTCTCTTTAGTTCTGAGTCACTTGAGAGGATCTCTGAGTGATAGGATGAGATGATGACTTTCCCATCTACTCGAGATGACACTGATTTCTAATTGTTATTCCCTGAGAGTCTCAGAAGGCCTTTCTAAGTTGTGATTGTTCTCTTCTTCCATGGGACATTTATGTGGGTCCAGATGGTCCTCTCTGTCTGGGGGGTGTGGGGACAGCTGGGCTGTGAGTCTGGTTTCCTCTGGGCCAGGCCTCCTTGCCCCGTGTCAGCTGCAGTGCCTTCACACAGGCCGCAGGGTTTACAGGGAGCGCTAGGCATGGTATCACGTGCTGACACTGCCTGAAACTTTGGTCGTATAGCTTTCCCAGGGCTGTTCCCTTCATCTGGCTCAGCGCCTCAGTCAGCTCCTCAACCTCCAGCTCCGGAGAATGCCCATCCTGTCCAAGGAGTCAGCTCCGGGCCTCATCATCGCCACTGGTAAGTGTGCGTTGCCTGTTCTCACAAGGGGTTCGGCTGTCTGGTGATACGCAGCCAGATGCAGAGTGATCACCCACCTCTCCAGCAGTAACCACTCTTCGTGGTTTGAAGGCATTCTTAGTTGCTAGATACTACTCAGAATTTCTGGCTGGGCAAGGTGATTATCTGACATACTCTTGAAATTAAAAATAATTATTTCTCTTGCATTTTAGGTTCAGTGGGAAAGAACTTGGCTAGCAAGACAAACGTGTACATCTCTAGCAGCGCTGGAGCCAGGTGGCGAGAGGTCAGCCCCCTCCGCCAATCCCCTCCCCTCCACCCTGGTTCCCGTTTGTGTGAGAATGCAGACTGTGCCTTGGCATTTCAGGGACACATATGGTCCATGGCAGAGACCAATAATGCCAGAAATGACTATAAAGTAAAGACAGGTACCTGAAGTCACTGATTTGTATCCACAGTTACTTTAAATTAAAAACAGACCTTTGCAAATGTGTGAATTTTACTTAACGTTCTAAGATTATGAGTTCTATGAGGGCAAAGACAGTGTCTGTTTTACTGACTTCTTTATCCTGAGGACCTAAGAGTGCCTGGCATGGAGTAGGGGCTCGGGGCATATATGCTACATGTATCAGCAAATTACAACGTAGTGGTATCAGCCCTGAAACCGGCTATTATTATTATTTTGTATATTATTGACATTGAAATGAAGCCAGTCCTTGCTGGGCTGTGTTGTGTGGGCACTTTCATCTCATTCTGTGCTATGGAAGTAGACTCTGTTTTTGCCTTAAGGTTGTGTAACTAGTATCGATCCTGATTATACCAATTCCTATAGTGGGGCTAGTTCTCTAGTTCCAAAATGCTAATTCATCTTCATCTTTGGGCATTAGAGAATTTCCAAACTTGTTAAAAAAAAAAAAAAAAGTTGTTTCCAGCCTCCCATCATTGATTAAGGCCAAGGACGTGTGTTTGGTCTCGTTCTATAGGGGTTACTTTCAGGAGTGACCCTCTAATTATGCCGGGAGCCACTAGGGTGAAACCCAGTAGATCCCTTGACAGGATGAGCACGTTGTCTTTGAGCAGCCACGCAGGCTGGGCAGCCTAAGCAGCATGTCAGGAGTGATGTGGAGTCCTCAGAAGAGCTAGCAGACATAGTTCCCATCCACGTGGTGCTTTACTGGGAATGCACCGTGCTCACCTTGATATTTGAATAGGTAATATGTAAAGCAGTAATAAAAATACCAACATTCATTTGGCACCTCGCAGTTCATGGAGGCCTGTCACAAGCCTTCTCTCACTGTGGCAGGGCTTACCATCCCTCCCGAGGAGAGAGATGAGGCTCAGACACCGTGTACTGTGTGTGGGAAACAGGAATATGCATTCAGATGAGGCAGGTTGTTAGGGCCATTGTGATCAGAGTGCAGACAGTTTGAAGGAGAATTTTCGGGCTGTCCTTGTCCAGCTCCCAAGGGAAGATTAAGCAGCTGCCTTCCCCTTTCGTGGAGCTGGACGCTGCCTTTGAAATGGGGTATCCTCTTCTCTGCGAATAGGCCTGTGGTTTGTTTGTGCCTTCTGCTGTTGGTGTAATCTGGGATTTGCACATCTGCAAGTGATTTCCTTCTGGGTAGAAAGCAGTGTCTTGTTCCTCCTCCAGTGAAGTGGTATCGTCTGGCGATTACTGGGGCAGCTGTCAGTGCCTCCCTCCACACACGCCTTGTGCCTGCCAAGAAGCAGCCAGTGCATAAGAGACCTTATTTTGGGACATAGCAGAAAACTAACTGGGGGATGAAAAGATTGTGAGTTTATCTGTGTGAGTGGGCATCTGAGTCCCCATGGGCAGCCTTCACTTTAGAGGGACAATCTGGGCTGTGTGCGGGAGCAGGTGGTGGCAGAGGAAGAGGCTGTAGTGGACAGAATGCTGCCTGGAGCACTGCTGATCGTAATTCTGGTTTTCTTTTCCTCCTAATTAGTTGTGCAAATTCTCTGATCCTCGGAATTCCTTTTTTTGTGCTTTTTCCTTTTTTAAATAATTTTTATTTCTTTTATTTTTAGCTTTTTTCTTTATCAACTTCATTGAAGCAGATGAAGGTACAGTACACGGCACATAGTTAAAGTGTACGGTGTGATCAGAATTAATTATGGTCACCACAATTAAGAAAACAAACATTTCCATCTGCAAATTCTCTGATCCTCAGAATCCCTTTTTTATGCTTTTTTCTTTTTAAAATAATTTTTATTTCTTTTATTTTTAGCTTTTTTCTTTGACAACTTTACTGAAGCAGATAAGGGTATGGTACACTGCACGTATTTAAAGTGTACAGTTTGATCAGAATTATGGTCACCACAGTTAAGATAACAAACATTTCCATCACCCTCCCCGAGGTATCTTTGTGCCCCTCAGCAATCCGTCCCACTCTCTACTCTTGTCCTTGTCTGCTTCTGTTGTTCATTGGCATTTGCTAGCATAGGTTATTCATTGACATTTTCTAGAATTTTGATAAGTGGACTCACACAGTATATACTCTTTTTGCCTGGCTTCTGTCACACATCACAATGATTTTGAGTTTCATCCAAGTTGTTTCGTGTATCAGTTGTTCTTTCCTTTGCTAGTCGTATCCCATTGTAGGGATATATCATAATTTCTTTATTCATTCATCTGTTGATGAACATTCCAGCTTTGCTGATTACAAATATAGCTGTTATGAACATTCATGTGCATATTTTCTTCATTTCTCTAGGGTGAATACTTAGGAATGGAATAGCTGGGCAGCATGGTGGGTGTATATTTAACTTTTTAAAGAACTGCCAAATTATTGTCCCATTTACATTTCCACCAAACAGTATGTGAGAATTTTAATTGCTTCACATCTTTGCCAACACTTGGTATGATTAGTCTTTTTAATTTTAGACATTTTAATAAGCATGTGATAATATCTCATTGTACTTGTAATTGGCATTTGCATGATTATTAATGATTCTTTTCATGCACTCATTGGCCATTTTAAAATACGGTTGTGAAGTATCTGCCCAAACCTTTTGCCTTTTTGAAAAAATTGGGTTGGTCTAGCACAATGGCTCTGCCTATAATCCCAGCACTTTGGAAGGCTGAGGTAAGAGGACTGCTGGAGCCATGAGCAATATAGGGAGAGCTCGTCTTTACAAAAAATAAAAATATCCAGGCATGGTGGTGCATGCCTGTAGTCCCAGCTACTCAGGAGGCTGAGATCAGAGGGTCACGTGAGCCCTGGTGGTTGAAGATGTAGTGAGCTGTAATTGTGTTGCATTTCAGCCTGGGCGGCAATGGAATGAGAGCCTGTCTCAATAAATATATAAATAAATTTTAAAAACTAATTTTAATAATTGAGTTGTCTATCTTCTTTGAGTTGTAGGAGTGTTTTAAAAAATATGTTTTGGTTTCAAGTCTTTTGTGTGATGGTAGATACTCATTTTTTCCATATGGAGATCTAATTGATTTAGCACCATTTGTTGAAAACACTTCTCTCTTCCCCATTGAATTGCCTTGGTACCTGTTTGAAAATCAATTGGCCATATATGGGCCAGTTTTAGGCCAATTGGGTCTATTTCAGGACTTTATTCTGTTCCATTAATCTGTCTGTCTTTTCACTAATACTAAATTATCTTAATTTCCAAAGCCTTATAGTAAATGTTGAGATCAGGTAGGGTAAGTCCTTCAACTTTGATCATTTTACAAATCATTTTCGTTATTGTAGGTCCTTTGTATTTCCTGATACATTTTAGGATCACTTGTTAATTTCTATGAAATCTGCTGGGATTTTTATTATAATTGCCTTGAATTTGGAGGAGAATCGATGTGTTAATACTATTGAGTCTTCTGATCCATGAATACAGTATCTTTTTCCATTTCTTCTTTAATTTCTCTTAGTATTTTGTAGTTTCCAATGTAGAGGTCCTGTACATCTTTTATTAGCTTTATTCCTAGATATTTTTATTTTTATTTTTGGTATTACTGTAAATGGAATTGTCTAATTTTTGCTGTAGTATGTAAGAATACAATTGATTTTTAATATATTAATCTTGTATTCTGTGACCTTGCTAAGGTAATTCATTAGTCCTAGTAGGTTTTTAGATTCTATGTAAGCAATCATACCATTTGTAAAGAGTGGCAGTTTTATTTCTTCCTTTCTGATCTTAATGTCTTTTATTTCTTCTCTCATTCTTCCCTTCTTTCTTGTCCTTCTTTTTCTCTTCTTTCTTGTCCTTCTTTCTTCTTCTCTTTCCCTCCTTCCCTTCATTTTCTCCCTTCTGATTTCTTTCATTCTCCTTATCACAATGGCTAGGACCTCTATACAGTGTTGAATACGCCAAGACCAGGTCGGTCGGGGAGACCCTAACCCAGCAGTGCTAAAGGAATCAAAGACACACACGCAGAAATATAGAGGTGTGAAGTGGGAAATCAGGGGTCTCACAGCGTTCAAAGCTGAGAGCCTGAAACAGAGATTTACCCACGTATTTATTAACAGCAAGCCAGTCATTAGCATTGTTTCTATAGATACTAGATTAACTAAAAGTATCCCTTATGGGAAACGAAGGGATGGGCTGAAATAAAGGGATGGGTTTGGCTAGTTATCTGCAGCAGGAGCCTGTCCTTAAGGCACAGATCGCTCATGCTATTGTTTGTGGTTTAAGAACGCCTTTAAGTGGTTTTCTGCCCTGGGTGGGCCAGGTGTTCCTTGCCCTCATTCCCGTAAACCCACAACCTTCCAGCACGGGCGTTAGGGCCATTATGAATATGTGACAGTGCTGCAGAAATTTTGTTTATGGCCAGTTTTGGGGCCAGGATATGGCCAGATTTTGGGGGCCTGTTACCAACGGAATAGGAGCAGTGAAAGTGGGCATTCTTGTCTTGTTCTCTCTCTCTGGGGGAAACAATTCAGCCTTTTTACCATTAACTATGATGTTAGCAGTAGATTTCTTTATCAACATTTGGGAAGTTCCCTATTATTACTAGTTGTTGAGTATTTTTTTTTATCATAATCAGATACTGGATTTCATCAAATGCTATTTTTACATTTATTAAAATGATTTTTTTCTATTACTATGATGTATTAAATATTACATTAATCAATTCTTGAATATTAAAACAACCTGGAATTGCTAGGACAAACTCTACTTGGTTGTAATGTGTTATCCTTTTTATGTGCAGATAGGTTTGATTTGCTAATATTTTGTTAAAGATTTTTGCATTATTTGTGAGAGATACCTGTCTGTAATTTGTTTTTTTGTAAAATCTTAAAGCTTTGGTATGAGGGTTTGGCTAGTATCACAAAACAAGCAGAGTGGTAAACCCCTCTTCCTCTTTTTTAGGACAAAGTTTGGTGTTATTTTTTCTTGAGTAATTCCCTAATGAAGCTGTCCAGACATTGAGTTTTCTTTCTGGGAATATTTTTTGATAAGAGATTTAATTTCTCTGGTTGATATAAGACTATTCAGATTTTCTTCTTGTTTCAATTTTGATGAGTTGTGTGTTTCAAGAAATTTGTCCCTTCACATAAGTTGTGACATTCATTGGCCTTAGTTAATAGTGATATATTCTCTTTATCTTTTTATGTCTGTAGGATCTTTGGTGATGATTTCATTCCTGATATTGGTGATTTGTGTATTTTCTCTATTTTTCCTTAGTTTAGGTGTTTCAATACTGTTGATCTTTCCAAAGAATCCGCATTATCTTTATTGATTTTCTATTGTCTGCTTTCTGTTTTGTTGGTTTTTTTCTTATTATTTTTTCCCGTATTTGTTTTGTTGTTCTTTTTGTAGCTTATTAAGATATAACCTTGGGTTATTGATTTTATATCTTCTTTTCTAATGTAAGCGTCTAAAGCTATAAGTTTTCCTTTAAATACTAATTTAGGTATATGCCACATATTCAGATATATTGTATTTTTAGTGTTTTTAAGTTCAGAGTATATTTAATGTCCCCTTTTAAAACTGAGATATAGGCTGGGCACAGTGGCTGATGCCTGTAATCCCAGCACTTAGGGAGACCAAGGCAGGAGGATCACTTGAGGCCAGGAGTTCAAGACCTGCCCAGGCATCATAGTGAAACTTTATCTCTACAAAAAAATAAAAAAATTAGCCGGGCATGCCTGTGATCCCAGCTACTCCGGAGGCTGAGATGGGAGGCTCACTTGAGCCCAGGAGGTCAAGGCTGCAGTGAGCTGTGATTGTATCAGTTCACTCCAGCCTGGGTGACAGAGCAAGACCGGGTCTCAAAAAAATAAAAAACAGATAACACTGAGATATAATTCACATACTATAAAGTTCACCATTTAAAAGTGTACAGTTCAAATGTTTTTAGTATTATTCAGTCATCACCATTATCTAATTCCAGAACATTTTCATCAACCCATAATATCTCCTGATTTTTATCTTCGAATGATAAGTTACTTAGCAAAGTGTTATTTAATTTGTGGGTATTTGGGGGTTTCATAGATATCTTGTTACTGATTTCTAATTTGATTTCCTATAGTCAGAGAAGACACTTTGTATGATTTCAGTCCCTTTAGATTTATTGAGATTTGTTTTGAGATCCAGTGTGTGGTCTATATTGTTGAATATATCATGTGCACTGGGAAGGAATATGTATTAAGCAGTTGTTTGAGGTAGTGTTCTATAGATATTATTTATATGAAGGTGGTTGATAATGTTGTTCAGATCTTTTGTGTTCATATTGATTTTTGGGGGGTCTAGTTCTCTAAATTCCTAAGAGAGGAATGGTAAGATCTCCTATTATGATTCTGAAATTGTCTGTTTCTCCTTTAAATTCTGTCAAGTTTTCCTTTGTTTTGGTATGCATTTTGAGTCCCTGTTGTTAAGTGTATTCACATTTATAATAATATTTTCTCATGGATTGTCCCTTTTATCATTATGAACTATCTCTCTTTATTGTAATGCCCTTTGTCATAAAGTCTATTTTATCTGATATTAAAATAGTTACTGTAGCCTTCTTCTGTTTACTATTTGGATAGTACATCTTTTTTTGAGTTGGTGTCTTACTCTGTCACCCAGGCTGGAGTACAGTGGTATGATCTTGGCTCACTGCAACCTCGGCCTCCCAGGTTCAAGCAATTCTCCTGCCTTAGCCTCCTGAGTAGCTGGGATTTCAGGCGCTCACCACCACACCCAGCTAATTTTTGTATTTCTAATAGAGACGGGGTTTCACCATGTTGGTTAGGCTGGTCTCGAACTCCTGACCTCAAGTGATCCGCCCGCCTTGGCCTCCCAAAGTGCTGGGGTTACAGGTGTGAGACACCACGCCCAACCCTGGATAGTACATCTTTTAACTTCCATTCACTTTCAACCTATCTGTGTCTTTGTATTTAAAGTGTTTTTTTTTCTCTTTTTTGAAGTTAGGTCTTGTGTGTTGTCCAGACTGATCTTGAACTCCTGGGTTCAAGTGATCCTGCCAAGTAGTTGCAATTAAAGGCACATGCTGCCATGTGCAGTTCTTTGAAGTGTTTCTTCCAGACAACATAGAGTAGGGTCGTGCTTTTTTCACTCATTCTGCCAAGCTCTGCTTTTTAACTGAAATGCTTAGGCCATTAACATTTAATATAATTACAGATATATTTGAATTTAGGTCTAATATTTCATTTATTTTCTTTCATTTCTCCTATTTATTATTCCTCTGTTCCTTATGTCCTCTCTCCTTTTGTATTATCTAGATACATTAAGTATTCTACTTTTATTTCGATTTTTGGGGGGGCTTCTCTGTGTATTTCTAGTGGTTTCTCTAAGGATTACAACATACATATCTAATCTTTTATAGTCTTCTTTGAGTTGATATTGCACTTAACGTAAAATTTAGAACCCTTTCAACCATGTAAGTCCCTTTTCTCCTCCCCCACCTGTATGTTATTTTCATATTTATCACATCAACACACATAACAAAACCCACAAAGCAGTGTTTGGTTTTGCTTTAAATTGTCATATGAGTTTCAAAGAACTTAAATATTTACCCAGATATTTACAATTTCTCTTGCTTGCTCTTTGTTCTGGAAAAATCTCTGTTTACCCATGGGAAATTTCCCTACAGCCTAAAGAAATGCCTATAGCGTTTCCTGTAGCAAGATCTATTGGCTGTGAATTCTCTTGTTTATCCCTTGTTTGAAAATCTACCTCTATTTTAACTTCATTCTTGAAGGATATGTTTATTGGATAGAGAATTCTGGGTTGACAGTAATTTTCTTCCAGTACTTTAAAGATGTCTACTGTTTTCTTGTTTCGGTGGGTTCTGATGAGAAACCTGTCTTCACTTTAGCTATCATTCTCCTGTGTGTAACATGCCATTTTTCTGTAGATACTTTGAAGATTTTTTTTTCATTAGTTTTCAGCAGTTTTGTTATGATGTGTCTAGGAGGGCTTTTCTTTGAGTTTATTCTCTAAGTAGATGCTGATTTTGAATCTATATTTATGTCTTTCACCAAATTTGTGAAATTTTCAGCCATTATTTCTTCAAAAATTTTTTCTGCCCCCGTCCCTTTCTCCTGTTCTTCTCAGACTCCAGTTACATATTAGACCTACTGTTATTATTCTCTGTGTCCTTGGCAATCTTTTTTTCTTTGAAATCTTTTTTTCCCCTGTATATTCTTTATCTGTAATTTCTACAGATCTATATTTATTTTGAAGTTCACTAATTCTTCTGTCATTGCTTTTCTGATGTTGAGCCCATCAGTAAATTTCTTGTTTCAGACATTATATTTTTCTGTTATAAAATTTGTTTGGTTTCTTTTTAAAAATTGTTTCCACTTCTCTGGAATTCTTTTCTCTCATTCATTTCACGTGTGTTTTTCTTTCCCTCATTGGACATGGTTATAACAGCTATTTTAAAATTCCAGCCGGGTATGGTGGCTCATGCCTGTAATCCCAGCACTTTGGGAAGCTGAGGCAGGTGGATCACTTGAGGTCAGGAGTTTGAGACCAGCCTGACCAACATGGTGAAACCCTGTCTCTACTAAAAACATAAAAATGAGCTGAGCGTGGTGGTGCATGCCTGTAATCCCAGCTACTTGGGAGGTTGAAGCAGGAGAATCGCTTGAACTCAGGAGGCAGAGGTTGCAGTGAACTGAGATTGCACCACTGCACTCCAACCTGGGCAACAGAGTGAGACTGTGTCTCAAAAAATTTAAAAAAAAATTCTAATAATATGGGTCACTTGGGATTGGCACCTTTTGACTATCTTTTCCCTTGAGAATTAGACACATTTTTTGGATATGTTTGTATGCTGTATGTTAAGTAATTTTGGTTTGTATTCTGCACATGTGAATGAAATTCATGCAATCAAGACTTCTGAAGGATATTGATATTTTTGTTTCAGCATATAATCAGCCTGTTTAGGTTCTGACCCTGTGTTCTGTCTTGCTTTCTGTAGGTGGTAGTTTAACTCTCAGTTCAGTATGCTAAGCCTCTGTTATACTGGTTTGTGTCTGTTTCATGCACATACACTTCAGGGGTTAGGCTGCGATTTATGTAAATTCATACACAAAATTAGGGGATTTACTTTTTTGACACTCCCTGCTATGGGATTCCATCCACACTTTCCCTACCCTACAGAGGCTCCTTTCTCTTGTTCCTTTGGGGGAAATAGTGTCTGTTGAAGTTTTAGCTGTGACTGAGACTGAGGTGTACCCCATGTCTGGGACTTTCCCTTTGGACAAAGCTTTACCAGCAAATTCATGACTTGTGTGTGTAGCTTCTCTAGGTTTTAAATCTCCACAAGCTGCTTGCTTTTGTTTACTTTTTCAGCATCCACTGGTAGTTGTTTTTTGTCCAGAGTTTTCAGCTGTAATTAGCAGGAAGGATGGGCTATAGAGGGCTAATACTATCACAGTAGAACTGGAACCTCAGTTATTTTTTAATCAAGGGTTGGTGGGAGTCTTAGATTTGGATTTGAGTCCTACCTCTGCCGTTCACAGTTTGCCATTTTAATGTTAAGCTCGTGTTTCTTCATTTGGGAAAAAAATTGAGATACTAGAACTTGCTCTGCCTGTCCCTAGGATTGTGTGAAACAGATGAGATAATGGATGCCAATGTCTTCTGTGAACAGAAAAATTGTTTTAAAGTGGTTGTCATTGCTGTTATGTCTATGTGCACATGTGTGCATGCCTGTGGTTATGTGCACATGGTTTCTGCACAGTTACCTCCACAGCAGCGGTGTCACCATGAATTTTTCCTCCTCAGGCACTTCCTGGACCTCACTACTACACGTGGGGAGACCACGGCGGAATCATCATGGCCATTGCCCAGGGCATGGAGACCAATGAGCTAAAGTAAGTGTCTCTGATGAGGCCTTTTAACATCAAACTCTTCTCCCAGAAATTTACGTCTATGGTTCTAAGTGGATTATCTCTCTACAGCACTAGGTTGTTGACAGCACAATTTGTGATCTCTGGATATGACTTAAACTATTTTTTTTTTTTTTGAGATAGAGTCTCACTCTGTCCCCCAGGCTGGAATGCAATGATGCGATCTCAGCTCACTGCAACCTCCATCTCCTGGGTTCAAGTGATTCTCCTGCCCCAACCTCCTGAGTAGCTGGGATTACAGGCACGCACCACCATGCCTGGCTAATTTTTGTATCTTTAGTAGAGATAGAGTTTCAGGCTAGTCTCGAACCCCTGACCTCAGGTGATCCACCTGCCTCGGCCTCCCAAAGTGCTGGGATTACAGGTGTGAGCCACCACGCCTGCCCTGACTTAAACTCTTTATCTCTGAAATGGGAATAGTAAGAACCTGTCCTTCCTATCAGAAAGGGAGATTGTGAGGAACAGGGCAATTAATTTTATGGATTTGAAAAAGTATAACACTATAGAAAGAATTAATAATGGCCAAGTAATTAAGTGGAGGCTCTTTAATTTGTTCTCCTTTGCTTTGTGTCTTTATTACATAGAATGACTAAAAATAAATAGCAATAATAATAATACATGAGTAATAATTACAGAATGCATACACCTTGATAGCGATTGACTTTTGGTGCATTAGGTTGGTGGGGGGTCTCATAGAGCTGGAAGGGATGTTTAGGGTTAACTGCATCATTGCACAGATGAGAAAACAGGCTCAGCAAGGCGAAGTAACTTGCCCAGGGTCATTCCTTTTGTTAGTGACATTGGCAGGATTAGCACTTGGGTTTTTAGATTGCATCCTACATTCTTTGCAATATATTGTTCTGAAAAGCAAAACTGTCAGGAGTTTGTAACCTCTACACCCTTATGTTCTGATTTTATCAGATATATACAGATCTGTGTGGATGTACTGGTTCTTTTGGCTCATTATTGAATGGTTCATGTTAGGTCAAGTTCATGCCGGACCGCACTTCTTCCTGTTTTTTCGCTGAACCCATTAGATGGATTGGTGAAGGATCTGGAGAGGGCTTCTGTAACTATCTTGTTTATTGCAAGGACAAAGCTTTCTTTTTCTTTGCTCCTTTTAGAAACAGGGCCAACTGGCCGGGCACGGTGGCTCACACCTGTAATCCCAGCACTTTGGGAGGCCGAGGTGGGCGAATCACGAGGTCAGGAGATCGAGACCATCCTGGCTAACACGGTGAAACCCCGTCTCTACTGAAAATACAAAAAACTAGCCGGGCATGGTGGCGGGCGCCTGTAGTCCCAGTTACTCGGGAGGCTGAGGCAGGAGAATGGTGTGAACCTGGGAGGCGGAGCTTGCCGTGAGCCGAGATCACGCCACTGCACTCCAGCCTGGGGGACAGAGGCAGACTCCATCTCAAAAAAAAAAAAAATAAAAAATAAACAGGGCCAGCAGCAAGTGAGAGGTGGGTGGTTTGGAAAAAGAGATCTTAGCAGCTGGTTTTTTCCCTGTGGATAATTTGACATGTGCTGAGCAACCTGGCTTCAGAGAAGGAGAGAGAAGCAAAGTACTGGTATTTGGCATTCCGCTTGGCTGTTCTCTGTTCTGTGTAGCACTGGTTAGCTGTTTCTTTAGAGGCAATACTCTGAAGAGGTCCTGTTTGTATGCCACACTCTGTATTCATATTCAGATAGGTATTTGCTCAGACAACGACCATCACAGAGCACAGTACTTCCCACATTTGTGCTATCATTTATATACCCATTAATTTAATTTTCATTTCACATGTTTAGCAAGCGCCGATTGTGCCAGGTACTGTGTATCTATAGATGAATAGGATGCATGCCACCCTGTAGTCATAAGGTGGGCGAGGAAACAATTGTAGTGTTTGGTATACTGCTCTGTGTGTAATACGCACGTAGGGGACATAGTTTGGCTTCCTAGGAATACATTTCATTCTTTGTATGGTTTTCAGATTTCAGAGTCAGTTCTCGATTTGCCTTGTTTAACTTCTCTGAAAATTAAATTTGCATTCCAAACTGGCTCCTCTGAAGGAGTTAGTGTGATTCTAGTCCTCTTACACCATCTGTCGGTGCATATGTGCTCAGGGAACGCAGCGTCATTCTGCACTAGCTGGAGCAAAACATGATGAGGAAAATAAACTCGCTGCCAGAAAATCATAAAGCCTTCCGCAGACGTTCTGAAATGACTTGGGGGTTGTAGACTTTGGGGGATTATGGACACTGTAGCATTCCTCTATTTGTATAGGTTTCTTTTGGAAGTGTCTGTTTGAATAGTTCAAATAAAGCATTTGAAAATACAAAAATACATGTAAGCTTCCTATTGACAGGTGCATGTGTCCCACATAACAACCTGAGCTTGGCCTAAATCTGTGTAGCCACCTGGCATTTACTCAGTGTGTTGTTCACAGAGGTATTTTGCTTCTTCTCCTGCTGCTCTAAAAAGCAAGAAATAATATTCAAGTTAGTTCATATTCTCAAACTACAGTAGTGATTTACTGTGATGCCCGTGCACGAGGAGAGGGTGCTTCTGACAAGACCGGATATCTGTTGCTGGGCTAGGGCTTCAGGCCCCTTCTAAGTTTGGCCTCCGCAACCACAGAGATCTCTTTTCCTTTATGACTCACAGCATGTATAGGCTGTCCCATTAATTTGGCATTGATCATATTCTGACTTCTTATGTTAGTTACCTTTACATGATGTGCCTGAATTCTGCAACTCGTTAGTAAGGTCTTTGTAGGTAAATACTTCTGCTCGATACAGGTTAGCAGGCACTTAGCAAATATTTGATTGAAATAGGTCATGCATACTTAATCATCCAAGATTGCTTTTTTTTTTTTTTAACTGATTTATAAAACTAGAGGAGACCTAGCTGGCGTGCCAATTGCACAGCTCCAAGGGGACCACTGCCATTGTGCTCCGTGTCAATGACAACCCCGGGAGCACAGATGTGAGTGGAGGCTCCCTGGATGTGTGCAACCTGGTGGTACCCAAGAGACACCAGAGATGACCTAATCCACTTTCCTTAGTTTTCACATGAGGGAATAAGAGATTAGTCAGGAGTTAATGGCCACACTGGAACCTGAGCATATTTCTGTTAGGAATCATTTCAGGTCAATTACACAGACAGCTGTCGAACATCTACAATGAAGCAGATGCTGTGCTAGATACCAAGGATGCAAAGGCGAGTAGGACCCTGATCAGGAGCTGCCTGTGCCCACTGTTGCTCTGTGATGTTTCTGAGCCAGATGCAGAGAGAGAGGCTGGGAGGAGGGGGTTTTTGAAAGAGGGCTTCCTGCTCTGATTTTACCCATCTTTAGGGAGGAAAGCCAAGTAAAGTAGCATTGGTAACTCAACTAGGTGGTAGTGGGGACAGAAATTGAAGCATTGCTCGAAGTAAACATTAGTGGTTTTTTTGTTGTTGTTGTTGATGTTCTTTTAAGTTATGCGTGTCTTTCTCTCCCTGATTAGCACAGATATCTAGGAGTTGACTGTTATTTGTTTCAGCTTCTGCCTTGAGTCTCCTCTGAGACTGTTACCTTTGTTATTGTTAATTGAAATCGAGAGCAAGAAGTGGAACACTTTGTTTTGCTCTTGTGTCTACATGTCTGAAATGGGTAAATAAGAACCTGCACTGGGGATTCACTGATTCATTCATTCAGCATGCTGCTCCTGTGAACATGCTCACGGGAGGCCTAGGAGCAGTGGCTTTTTCTTCGGAGAAGGGGCTGTTGCATTTTTGCACCCCGACTGAAGAAGATTCAAACACGTTTGTCAGCTTTATCACGGAAGATAAGATCAATTTCTGTTTCTTCACTGCGGTTTGCTTGTCAGTGTGATGATATTATTCGTAGTCAGTAATAAGATTTTGAACTTGCCCCAAAGCATCTTTTTCTCTAAGATATCCAGTTTCATAGGGGCTTCTCTCTGGAAATCCCGAAAAGCTCCTGCAAAGACTCCACGCAGCAGAGCAGCTGCCTTTTCTGGACCTGGGCTCTGGAATCAGACCCACAGTTCCAGAATGTGGGAGGCAGCGGTTAATGTCTTCACTTGCTTGCAGCACCTCTCAATGGTACAGTTGCCGGGAGAGCCACCTCTACTTTATCCTGACCCCTGTGGTTTTTCTGTCCCTTGAGGTATAGAGGAGCAGGTATTCTTATCATGTTTTTTTTTTTTTTTTTCTGGAGTGCCGTGGTGCAATCTCGGCTCATTGCAACCTCCTCTTCCCAGGCTCAAGCGGTCCTCCCATCTCAGCCTCCCGGTAGCTGGGACCACAGGCGTGAGCCACCATGCCTGGCTAATTTTTATATCTTTTTTTTTTTTTTTTGGTAGGCACGGGTTTCGCCATATTGCCCAGGCTTTTCATTTGAACTCCTGAGTTCAAAGTGATCCGCCTGCCTTAGCCTCCTAAGTGTTGAGATTACAGGTGTGAGCCACCAAGCTTGGTCCTTATCACCTTTTAACTGTTAAGAAACCGAGAAATGGGGTTAAAAAAAAAATGCAGTGCAGTTTCTTTAACTTCCTTCAGCAAGCGTTTATGAATAGTGCCCTTTCTGTGTGCTAGGAAAGATTCGAGGTGCCAGAGGCAGAGAGTAAGAGGTCTTATTCCTGATGAATGGCAATCTAGTAGAAAACACTCACAAAATCAAGTCACTGAAATATAGTGAGGTATAAGATTATGGAGAGCCCTGGGTGCATTGGGAACCAGAATGAGGGCCAGGTGGTGCTATCTGGGGGACAGAGGAGGGCTTCTGGGAGAGGAAACCCCAGCTGAACCTAAAAGGATATAAAGCAATGTCGGAATGCTTTTCTAGGGCTAGAGAGACCTTGAGCAAGGGCCAAAGCATGCTCAGTGGGGAATGTGCACGGCTCTTGAGTATTAATAGAATGCAAATTTCCAGGTGGGAAGTGGTGAGAAACGAGGTTGGAGGAAGGTCTGTATG